ACTGGTGTTTACCGCGTGGTCAAAAATTATCTCTCAATTATCCGATGACGTCGTAAAAGTTTCACGCCCTTTCCTGTTGCGACCCTGGTGGTGGCACTGTAGCGGAGATGGATGCAGCAGACGCCTCCTCAGCTCTAGGTCTTTCCCCAGCATGGCAGGGTGTGGAAACTTCTGCAGCAAGAAGTTGGGACGCCGCGAAGACAGCGACCTTTCGGTTCGCTCGTGACTTCTACCGGAACTTTCACGACCAACCGCCAGGATCGCGACACTCAACTGCTTCACACTCCGGCTTCTATGACGTCACTTCTTTCCTCTTCGGGATCATGTTTCGACGCGTGGGTGGTGTGACGCTTAAACAAAGAAGTCGGAGATGCATTCCATCCAGACCCTGCATCGACTGTGGAGTGCCCACCTAGTGGCTGCGTATACTCGGTTACCTCCGCGCAGAAGATGTTGCTCAGAGATTATTAGTGTGCTGGCAACCTGGTGAAACGTTTGCTGCAACCAGTGTGTCCCCAGTTTTAAAAGAGAGGCAAGGAACCTCGTTTTATGTGTTACAGCGAGAGTAAAATATACCATGGCTGATTATAAATGAAAGTACGCTTCTAGTCTGCGAAATAATTCCCGTTTATTTCCAAATAGACATTATGGCAAAGCGAACGAATGGCACAGCCGGTTATACACGTTGAAAATAATTTTCCCAATAGAGCGACAGCTTCGCGCTCGTCCTTCAGCATCGACTTTGAATTAGCATAACCTCTAGAGGAACAAATCTGCCTTACCAGGATTTTAATACATCCGCCAATTTTTCGTGTGATAATCTACGTGCAGAATCTGCTCTGAACAATGACGTTGGAACAAACGGGTGCCAAAAAGGAGTACTGCAGTCAGAAATGATTCCAGCTAACTTATTTAAAAACACTAAGATCTTTAATTATTTTGCTCCGGAGTTTCGAGGCACATTTCTGATGTTCGAACAAGTTTGTTGTTGGAAGTACTCTGGAGAACAAAACAGCGCTGGAATGTTCGCGAAGTCGCTTCTTCGCTCTGCACTAGTGTGCGTCCTCATAGCTTCGACTAATTACGGCTGACAATGGGTTATTAAAAGTAACGCAATATTTTGTTTGAGTATGTGTGCTACGGGTCGTAGTAGGAAAGCTGGCGAAATACAGGTAAATTACAAATATATAGCTGACCTTGTCTCGTCAATTAAAGCAACCCCTTTGTGACGCCTTAGTTGTTTACACAGTATACTCTACAAAGAAATGCTCACGCTTCCAAACGATTGTCAGTATATTGTTGTTCACACTGAAAATGATATTATTCCTGCTATCTGCAGTGGTTGGCTAGCAAACGACGAATTTAGTAAAGACGTTCTCACATAATGCTTGACTGCTAAGGGAGACTTCATAAAATAAGGTTTTAAATTTTTGTGCTATAACAGATAAAATATATTTTTGGAACACCTAATTCGTTCTGAAAGGCTTAGGTCAAAAAGCGCAGCGATTGTTATGTTACAATCCGCAAAGTTTGGTATCGTACTGCGTTCAGCACTAACCAATCGTTTAGTTCGTTGAGTACCTTATAAGTCTGCACATTCTGTGTTGAAGACTACTTCGCTCTCTTTTCCCTGTTGAAGCTGTGTGTGCCTATCGGTGATAATCTCTGAATTTTCCCAGCCACTTCCACTTTTCATTTCTGTTTTGGCGTTTTTCCTGTCGATATCTAACAATCGATTGTCTTCTTAATGCAGTCATGTCGCGGTTTCCTTGAATCGAAGCTTTCTTTGTACTAAAAGAGTTCGTCCAACTTCCGATTCACTTACCATTCTTGCCCCATCTCTCTAGTAATTTTGCTACCATCCCCAACGTTCCCTTCTTTTCTACGTTGGGCCATAGTTCATCTCTCCAGCACGATACGGAACGCGGCGTGCACCAACACAGGCTGAGGCAGTTTTCTACTTAAGGCTTCATACAATATGTTCCTATAGTGCTACGGAAAGACGAGATCGAAATCTCTTTTGATAGCACATCACGTTTTGACAGAGGCGCGTCAGATAGAAGACACATTTCGCCAGTGATAGAGCCTAAATGCTGCTACGTATTTAGCTGGCCCTAATTAGTCTTATCGTTCGCTGAAACCTTCCAATTGTTTAAAAGCTCTGATTATTACGAGCTGTACGGATGATAAACAGGGCCATTTTAACTTCTATGAAAACGTACTTACGTCTAGGAGGAGTTTCGTGATCACGAATACGGCTTTTTTTTTTTTAATGCTATCGTTCTAGAGAACATTACATTCAGATTGGTGCTTTGCATATACTACAAGAAAATGTTCGTGCCCTGGGACCTTTCTTTTTTTTTTTTTTTGGGGGGGGGGGGGGGAGGGCGGTGTGCATTAGTGTGAGCGTCTTTTAAAATTAACATTCCAATGAGAGCTGCAGAACTCGATAATGCCCGTGGCAATACCATTAAAGAGGCGACATCATTGTTTTCTTCCGTTTAATTGGAGGCCAGACATACCCGAAGCAGCCCTTGCCAAAGAGTCTGCCAAGCGGCAGGAAACCCGATCGCGGGTGACTAATTTATTTCCATCGATTTCCAATTTCCTTCTCCATTAACTAACCAACTTTTTGTTTTATTTCTTTATTTTTTTACAGGAACAAATATAATTTTGCTTTTCCTCCCGTGAAATCGTCCACCGGGGACCGATTAGCACAACTCGCAATTAAAGTTGTCCCTCCATCGATTTGCAATGACATAAAAGCTGCAGTCTGGGGAGACTAGACTTAGGAGAAGAACAACTTAAACGTTGATGAGCGTCTTCAATTTAATGCGCTTATTGGTCAACACTGCACATGCGTTGCGTTGTCGCGTGAAGAGTAGGCAAGCGGGAGGAAAGGCAGAGACACTTGCAAACGACCAACGTTTTCCTGTCCTCCTCGCAGCTCGTTTCGCAAACGTGGCCCATAAACCACATGACCCCGATTGAGCAGTTGGAAAGACTCTGGAATCCAGGCGCCCTACATTTCTAATTATTCCCTTGCGCCTTCTTGCGGAGAAAAATAAGGGAAAGGGTGGAAGGGAGTGGAAGAGGACAGAAAAGGGAGAGATCCCTATTGAAAAAGGCCAATATGAACTCGGCTTATTGGAAATATTGTATTCCAATGAAGATGATGGAAACCAATAAAAACTTATTGTTATCCGATTAACCCAATACGCACGATGGGAATTCATATCGGAGCACAATATCCCGATATAGTATGCGGTTATTGGTATACAACAGGATATTGGAGCACAATATCCCGATATAACTTGCGGTTATTGGTATACAACACGATATCGGAGCACAATACCCCTATATACTACACGGTTATTGGAATAGAATACGACATCGCGTGCATATTGGTGACCGACATGGACATACTGTACGGCCTAACGATATACAAATATTGGTCGTCGATCATGGGACCAAAGGAGAATACAATATGATATCGCGTGCATATATCTCAGAACGCGGGTACCAAGTTACCAACATGCATTACGTTGGCATATCCACACGGCAATACGCGAAAAACATATTGGGTGTGGATACACACATAACATAAACGTTCTGCGTTGCGAACACATTAACATTGACCGACAGTGCAAGTATGTACAGCTGTTAGAACGGCACACAGTACACACAGCCTCGCGCGCTTGAAACTAGACAACCACCAAACCATTCAGAATAACTAGCCGGAACACCCGCCGCGACCTACCTTTTAATGAGAAAGCCCAATAACGACGTGCTCATTGGAGTGATCGCTTTCCAACAAATGTTTATTGCAGTTGTAATGCAACAAAAGTTGATCGCCAAACGATAAACCCAACGTACCGGGATACAATTCGATGTTGCAACACACCATCGCAATACAACAAGAAACTATCGGTGTTGGGACACGACCACCACATCGAATACGATATCAATACGAAGTTACCGGCGGTGAGAAATACATCATGACACGATATACTAGTTACCAGTGTTGGGACCGAAATCGAACGCGATACGTGACAATGTCGGTTCGCACGATAAAATAATGAGGGTGAATAGGTTTGACAGGTCACGTGCATGTAGTTGCTTCTTACGCGCACATTTATCGATATTGACCCACCTTTCTGGGTAATCCTACGTTGTACACAAAATCCACGACGACATGCGAGCACATTTCACCCACCACTTTTCGTCGCCTGTTTCGCGAGATTCACACACTGTCCAAAAAACGACGTGAAAAATACGTGCACTTGCGCCATCAAACGATACGTTACAGCCTCGTTTCTCGAGAAGACAATTTCCATCGCCAACAGGCGCGCGCGCGCGCGCGCAAGCAATTTGGACCACAGTTTGGACTTCGAACTGTTCGAACTTCGAAGGGAGCGAGCCCGGCTGGCCCGGCGCGATGCCGGCGTCGCCGGCGTGCTGGCGAGCCGCCAAGACGAGCACGACGAGCATGCGCAGTGCGCAGCGTGCAGCGGGCGGGCGTCGGTTGCGCCGCTGTCACCGCTGTGTCTGTGTCAACGACTGTGTGTTGCGCGACCCGGCCAGCCTGGCCAGCCGGCGTGATTGGCGTTCGTCGCACTCTGTACTCGTGGGCATCGAGCGAAACCTACACACTTTCAATTGCTTCGAAAGGTACGTATACACGACTCTATTACTTGCAGCATTGAGTGCTTTGGCGTACGCGGATCAAAGTAAACACCGAAGAACAGAAAGGAGACGTGAAGTTTTTAAATCGAGGCCTTTTTGAAGGCCTGTGTTCCCTGTTGAAAGCACCTAGCTGTGCTCTGTTGCAGGCGTCATTTCGACTGCGTGTGCTCCAATGTAACGTCAGTCACTGTTCACACTCGGCTAGCTTTGACAGTTTGTTATCTGATGTGCGAAATAGACGTAGAAACCAGCGCCGCGTCTCTTTCGGATGCTCAGCCTCCAGCCCCCTTCCTTCCGGCGTGCTTTCTGCCGCGCCCGTTCGGCGCATTGGATTCGCGGGCGCGTCAGGCTCGTTCGAAGAGGCGTCTGAAGCTGACGAGTCGCCGAAGTGTACCGGAGCTTCTCTTTGGGAAAGTCGCAATCGACGCTCGGCGGCTCGGCTCTGAGCTCGTACTTTTCTCCTCCCGGGTATACCGTGCCGATGAACGAATTTGAAAAAGCGCTAGCGAGTGACTTTGTGACGCCGCCCAACTGTCCTTCTATCAACGGCGCAGAGCAAATGATGTACAGAAAAAAAAAAAAAAAACGCGTTTTTTATATTTTGTTGGCTATGTTTCACCTCAACACAAAGTGAATCGCGGCTGTACGTCGGTTGACTCATTATTGTGCCTAGATTGTAACGGAACCTTTTTGGTGTGATCTTATTCTGATATCGTTATATCTCGCCTTTTCATCTTGGCTGCACACCTCTAGACGACATTCTACACATTGCACTCCTTGTCGAAATGTCGCTGGTGCTTGAGACTAATTGGAAGTCACTGTTTGCTCACTCCTTGGTGCACACATTTTATGTTCAACATCAGTTATCTGAAGGAGGCTCCATGAAACCCTGGAATTTGTTTAGAGGTACCTCTACATACTGTGTTAGAGTGCTGTTTTGTGCGTTGTAGGTTCGCACAAAACCAAATTGCACCTTGTAATATACCCTTTGACTGTTTACTACAATTAAAGTTGCAATGAAACATTGGCCACGAGAGGTGACTCGGCCAAAGTGGCCAACAAATTCCTCACATAGTTTTCTCCATGGGTCATTTTGGATGTTGACAAATTTTCTTGTGAATAATGAGTGTTATGCACATATGTTTCTTCTACTTTTCAGACAGGTACTTCAGTTAGATAAACCCCAGCAAAAGCAGCAAGAGAGTCTCGTAGGGTCACACCAAGGATAATGGCATTCCTGCTCGAGTCCCGGGTCTTCTCACCGAACTTCACTGAGCATAATGGTACATTCCCTTTCCTTAACTTTGTGGGAGCCAAGGGTGAAAGACGACGCAGAGGGCACGTGACAGGCGGTCGGCGGAGAAAGAAGTCACGAGCTGGCGCGAGACAGTGCGTGCTGAGCGAGGCTGGAGCTGGGCAGGAACATCGGAGCCGGGCTGCCTGGCTTGGAGCGGTCCACCAGCGAGGTTCAAACCGGACCGGTAGAAGCGGCGAGTCCTGGCCATCTAGCCTAGGCCACGACGATCCCGGGGTGGTTCCGCAGCGAGACTCGGGCAGTGATAGCCCGGGACAGCCAGCCTACGCAGCGCTGGCATGGGAAGGACGATCCGCAGGCCTGGACACTGACTGTGAGCTCTGATCGACGGACGACAACAAGGGTCGGCATGCCTGGACTGCTGGCTCTGAACGACGGGCAACCGTGAGGTAGTAAACTTATTCGCTGTCTTCTCGGTGCTGTATGTCACTCCCTGGGTGACGGGCGGAGCGCATACCGATTGGGCGGTGATTATTAGTAGCTAAGCGAACTCCATAAAGAAACCAGTATTAAAATGGCACATCCAACGTGAGGCTCATTCGGTATGCCTCTGCTTCTAGTTTTCCCCAGGGAGTCATACGGATTCGTTGAGCGGGTTGTTCACTAACGCTAATAATGCCCGTTGAGACAAATATGTTGGAATTTTGGCGACTTGTCTCACGGCAGACCTCAGCAGGTGTCTCCTCGAATCAAGTACCTAAAGGGCTCGAAGAACGAGGTTGAATACACGCTTTCTCGGGTACCCTAGAATAGTGGTTGGCAGGAGACGGGGAGCGCGGTTAAGATGTAAGAAAGTCGTCTCGAGAGGCAGAGGAGAGTCACGGCATGTTCGCTGGAAGGCAGGATAACGGGTGGCAGGAGGGGAAACAGCCAGGACTCATTGCAGATTTAGGATTTAGGCTTGGGGTGATGCGGTAGGCAAGTAAGCGCTTGTCGAGGCCTGGAGTGCAGATGGGTTTTTGACAGTGGGTGTTGGAAAGATTGCGGAAATGGCAGTTGACACCGGGAACACTGGCAGACGAGATTGTCAGCGGGTGTCGGGTAAACTGGCGGAAATTGCGGTTGGCACCTGGAACGCTGGCAGGCGAGTTAATGAGCACTATGATTTGTAACTGCTGGGCCAAGACGGCTAGTTTCTTCGCGTCAGTCCAACAGTCGACAAAAGGCGGAGGGACGACTCTCCCTTGAGGGGGGTCGTTCCAAGAAAGCTATGAATTGATTTAGATGATTCTTTCTCGACTTCACTCTGGCCGGTCGTGGCACTGACAGCAAGACTTTTAATAAGTTATGTCGCGTCACGGCCTGGCCGGGGATGCACCGGTAGACCTTTAGGTGGCTTGTAGCTGTCCAGCTTGCCTTGAGGTGTGAACGGTTGAAGCGGGCTTGCTCGCTGAGCGTGAACGGTGGAAGCAAGCCTAAGGCCCACTTCAGACGGGGCAATTTCCCCCAGCAACTTAATGTCGCAACACCAGCAACACAGGCCGCCTGCGTTCAGACGCTGCAACCAAATTGCTACGACTTGCCATCATCATCATGAAATTTGATTTTTCTTGCACTATATAGACGCACAACTACGTGCTAAAAACATGTTTTTATATCTTTGACTGGCATTAATACTCACTCATGTTTCTGAAAAAGTTTATTTCCAAAAACGATCCATTTGAAACCAGGACCAAGTCTTCAGCTGTCATCCTCACCACCACAGGGGTGTCACGTGAAAATATTGCGTCCCTGATTGGCTGCTGCCGCTTCAAACTTTTCCAGTTTGTTCGAGTTGCGTGTCTGTTTTAAGCCGAACCTGATCTCAGAAATTTGTGCTGATCTGGGAAAACCTAGGGAATTACCCGCCAGCAACCTCAAAATTGCTAGAAAAGTAGCCCCATCTGAAGCGGGTTTTAGGGAACTGAAATCAAGGGCAGTGGAGCTCTGGGTTCAAACCCACCTGGAGACGTTTCTTTTCTTTTTGCCTTTTTTTTAGTATACAGTATATATATATTTATATTTATAAATAATACTTTTTTTAAGTTTTAACGTATAGACGCATAATTTACACACTAATTCACATTAAGAAGTGCTTTTATTCACACACTGTGGCTCCCTAGTGCTTGCAATAGCTTCTTGCTAAGCTATTGCAAGCTCTGCAAAGGGAGGGGCATCTTCCCACCCTTTGCAGGCTGTAAAGCTGTGGCTTGCACAGCTCTAGCAGGTCGCACCTCGCACACTGGCTCCATCATCAAGCATAGGGGCTGCATGAGTCGCGCCACACCGTAAGGCTATATACGGTCGGGTCACAGCACCTGGGACCATTCGTCGCTGCATTCAGCTGTGGTATGGTGGCATGGCCAGGCCATGAAGCAGGGGTACAACTTGGAAATGCTCATCTTCATCACATTTGAAGCACATTTTTTTATTACTTTTGTGTCGAGTTGTCAGCATTTTAAGGGTGAGGAAGCAAGCAGCAGCGAGAGCAAGAAAAAAAATTGAAAGCCGCTCTTATTGAGAATTTATTACAAGCACTAGGAAGCCGTGGAGTATTCTTAAAACGCTTCTAAAGCTGAATTAGCATATAAATTATGTGCTAGTGCCTCAAAAATAAAAAAAACAAACAATTTAAGTATAATTAATAAGGATAAACATATACACCTGGAGGACTTCAACCAGAACAACACAGTCTGTAAATTTGAAATTTGACACCATAAACCGCTTGGCCACCACCCAATTTTATTTTTAGGTCGTTTATCGAGGTATATGAATTTCATTTGCAGCTGTGGGCTGCAAGAGAGATAGCCTTATTTTCATTTACTTTACTATTCCCACCAAATATGGCAAGTGACCAAGAATAGAACGTCATTTGTCGGCCGAGGCACTGTGCTTGCATCAAGGCAAACTAGCCTGGCTTGGTAGGCTTATATTTTGTTTCATCACCCGTTTAGGGTTCTGTTGTCGCTCATCAAAAGAAAAAAAAACTAAGTCTGACTTATTCTGGTGTGCAGGTACCCTTGGCAGTAAACTCTGCTAAATGGGGCAAAATATATATTATACATTTTTTAGCAAATATGCATTGTTTTAGCAAAATGAGCTACACTATTTGACTAAGGTGAAACAGAACGAGCCTTTCCACCTGGGTCTGTTTCCATCTTTCGCAGACACTATTTCCTGGTTTTTGTGGTTTGTATCAGACTTTTGTGTCTCTGACCGGCCAAAGCATCTGTGTTAGACTCAGACTGGTTTCTTTAGGATATGTGCAGGTATTCTTCGCAACAAATGGCTGCCAATCATGAACACGAGTTTGTTCTCGGCCACCAAGAGCAAGTATTTTCAAGGTGAGCTATTGGCTGCCTATATTTTATTTATTTATTTATTTGGTGATACTGCCAGCATTCTGTGGAACTCCCAGGCAGGAGGTGTACAAAAACAATATTCAAAGACAAGCGGAAGTAGTACAAACAAGCAGACAGCGCCACTACTCAACAAAGTGCGAGAGTAGTGCTTCAATAAAAGCATCTAATGATCTCAAATCAAAACACTTTCAAGAAGCTTATTCCACTCACACGTGGTTCTAGGAAAAAAGGATGCTTTGAACAAAGTGGTTCCACACAATGGTTCGACAAGTGTTAATTGGTGTTTGCCTCTCATGGGCCTTGTTTCGTTAAATAAAGTGTAATCACAGAGACGCAGTCGCAAATTACCCTGTATCATATTATAAAGAAACTTCAGCCGTCCTGTTTTTCTCTGGGTTGCCAAATCACTCAATCCCGATCTTGGGTACAAATCTGAAACTGATGACATAAAACCATAATGGTTGTACACAAACTGCAATTTTTTTTTTTTTTTGCACAGTCTGTAACATATTGATTGACAGCTTTGTATGAGGGTCCCATACAATACATGCATATTCTAGCATTGGTCTTATGATGGTTTTATAAGCAGTCAGTTTAGTTTCAGGTGAACACAGGTTAATATTTCGTCTTAAAAACCAGAGCTTCCGCATTGCTTTACGAGCTATAAACTCAATGTGTGCACTCCATGACAAATCAGAGGTAATTAAAGCTCCGAGGTATTGATATTGGTTAACAGTATCGAGTGGTACTCATTTGATAGAATATGTAAAAAAACAAAGGGTTGTTCTTCCGCGTCAAGGCCATTTCAACACACTTTTTACAGTTTAAAACCATATTCCATTTTATGCACAATGCATGAACCAAAGATAGACATTAATTTAATTCTTCTTGATCAGACGGGTTGTTTACCTTAGCAAATAAAACACAATCGTCAGCAAAAAATCGGCTTTGCACATTGGGGTGGTGTATCTTTAAATCGTTAATAAAAATTAAAAACAAAAGTGGCCCAAGGACCGAGCCCAGGGGCTCGCCCGAGAAAACGGGTGACTCGGGGGGGAAAAAACGGTCAACACTAACACACTGCGTTTAGTGTTTCATTCCCCTTGGATGCCATTTCCTATGTGTAGTGGTCTTGCATTAGTATTTTTTGTCTCCCTTCTGCAAAAACACCCAAGTTTAATTAAGACCGGGTTCTTTCTTATACATGCAGGTCTTGGTGGCAAGCACCAGCCAATCAAGGCCAGAAGTTTGCTCTTTGCCGCTCATCGCAAGTGTTTTCAAGGTGAGTGATTGATGCCTATCTGAGTTGTGTGTTTTATTCCTCACAGACACTCTATTTCCGGTCTTTATAGTGGTCTTGTGTCAGGCTTTTGTGTCTCTGTGTGGCCAAAGCATCTGTATTAGACTAAGACTGGGTTCTTTAGAATATGTGCAGGTATCCTTCGCAGCAAATGGCTGCCAATCAGAAACACGAGTTTGTTCTCGGCCACCAAGAGCAAGTATTTTCAAGGCGAGCTATTGCCCGCCTATATCAGTGATGTGATGGCTGCGCCAATTGTGCCAAACTGCACCAAGGGGCTAACCCTGCTACATTTTGTCAAAATATGGGTAATCTGCGCCGAGCCTGCGCCAAAGGGCCAATTTTGGTCGCCTTTCAAAACCGAAACTAAACTAAGTACCGTAACTGAGCATGCATGAGCTAGGCGGCACAAACGGCCGCCCGACACAAAATATCCTGCATCAATCGTCCATGGTTTTTTTTAATGGTCTTTTCCCGCCATGCCGTCTCTTCTTTCACGCTCTCGTCGTCTCGTAAGCAATAATCTCGTCTCGCGATTTTTTTTTTTTTAAACGATAGATGTTGGCGTGTGTGTGTGCTGCAACGCTAGCGTGCTGGGTACCAGCCATGACGTGGTGCTGTGAAACGAAATTATATTTTGGCGCGGCGGGAGTTGCTGTTTGAGCTGAAGCTCTCGCTCCTGAAATCAACGGCCACACGACATTGCAGATATGGAGCTGCCTAAACTGAAACATAAGGACCGCCGCATGTTCATCAACATTCATGTTCTTGTTTAAAACATACGGTGCTACAAAAATCCCTCTCTAACTCAAAAGACTGCTGTGTCGAAGTGTTGATTACCTAGGTTTCTCTTGGTGGGCTTTCTTTCGAGAGGGACCCCGGTACGTGCAAAATGTGTTCTGAAGAAAAGTTGAAGTGAGCTAAAGCAAAGAAGGGAATGTCCGCACGCTGAACCCGCAGAGAACGCTTGTTTGTCTCGAGTTCAGTCGTTGCACAAAGCGACCCTGGCTCGCGTTGTCTTGCATCAATGCGCTCAGGTTCTTTTTTTCTGTGTTTAGCTCGTACCTCGCCTGCCGGCCTTGCAAGCACGCGGCGCTGGACTCTTTTTTGTCGCATGCTGGGCAGTTACATTTCGCATAGATTTTTGGCAACCAGTTGGGACGGAACGGAGAGGCATGCTTTCGGTTTCGATTAAACAGCCGTTTCGCTAGCGCGACAAAGCACATGCACCTGCAAGCCTGCCGGAGTTGCCCTCACGTGCATGCGAACCAACGATGCGAACATAATTGCACGACAGAGGCACCAGTCGGGACGCTTGCAATTTAGTGTTTTACATTTAATTACTTTGACGAAAATCTGGCACGTCGGCAATCAGTAAAACGGTGGCAAGCGGTTTTTCGGAATTGCTTGGCAATGCCTACAGCACTGTACACTTGTGGGATGTCGCAATGTCTCTTTGGAGACATTAAAATTGGACATTCAATACTACCCTAAGCTAAAGCAAAGCTTGCTCCAGCTTTGCAGAATGTTTCAAAAACCAAAAAGAAATGTGTCATGTCATTGGCATTTCAGTTACATCTTGAAAGACTCCCAGGTGGCCAAACTTGACCATAATTGGTTTATTTCGACGAGCAAGATTCCCTTCGCGTGTCCAGCATTTAAAACAAATATTTTAATTTTTATTAGAATATCTGCTTTAAAAGCTACTTTTGCTGCTCCAAAACACTGTTTTGGCTGCTCCGAAAGGTGCTCCAAAACGGCTTAGGCCAATCACATCACTGCTATATGAGTTTCAGCATTTGTCAAGGAGCGCAAAAATCAAAGCCCGGGGGTTGGCCATTGCAAAAATGTTGACTCGGAAGCGCATAGGGAGGAAGCTTTACAAAAGTATCCACCTGCCTCTACAAGTGAAACCGAAACTAAGAATGTGGGTTCCATTTGAAAAAAAAATTGTCAGCCCGAATTAACTCAAGGCGCCACGGAGCAAACAAGCCACGGTACGAGTAGGCTTGGTTCAGGCTTTTGTAGGGGTGGTCGATGACTCGGTGTTTTCTAAAAAGTTATCTTTTTCTAAAAGTGTGGTGGTCAAATATTCGGGGATGGGCATTGAGTCAGGATCTTAAGGTAAAAACTTCATCCACATGCCGGGATTCATGTGCCTTGTCCCCCTAGCGAGGGGGACAAGGCCTTCAAAATTTTAGGTTCGCAAAATTGGTGCGTCGGTATTGACGTCTCATTTTACATCAGGCCTCTCATTTTAAAACTCACTATAAATGACATGTCTAAAATTCGTTTGGGTGTACTTCCTTCCAGCAAGTATATGGTTCTGTCTCAAAAGGTCTAATCTGATGTTGACTGCACCTCAGGTCTCCACCGACAATTCATCAGGACGAGACCCAACCGGGACATTAGGGATGAGTGGCTTAAGCAAGGAAGGCTACATATACGACAGCTTCTTGCGGACAAGAACCGAAAATAGATAGACGGTGGATGTTTCATTTGCTATGCCTTTTGGCATGCACATTCTGTTTGTTATGATTGAAAATTCCTGCAGAGTTCAATTTCAACTATTGTAAAAAACCGAGCATGCGCTCAGATCGCAGAAGCGCCTACCCTCTGATTCGAAACGATCCGCAAATAAGCAAAGGGCATACCAGACACCCATACACCTGTTTTGAGCCATGCTCAAAATATTAAAAGAGCACATAAGCGTCAGGTGCTTTGGCGTCTTTGCCACAATGGCGCCGGTTGCAGAGCTGACAGACCTGTGACTGGCACAAGCCATGGCATGGCCTTTGGGAACCAGGGAATCGAGATTTAAAAAGAAACACAGAAATTGGAGGCGGGTGGTGAAGGTGGGCAGAGTTAACAGAAAACAAGGATGAAGGAAGTTCGTCGCATGAGGCATCTATGTCCCGTGCATATAATTTTGAGTGTGCTGTAGTTGGCTACTCAAAAAAATTGTTACTTAAACGTAACTAATCGCAAATCTCTTGCAGTTTCCACGGCCCACAAGCCAGCAGGCGCCAGTTCATTCTTGTTCAAAGGTGAGGATTCTAGATTTTCTAGATTGCTCTGAAGCAGCAATACTGAAGCCAGACAAGCGGTACGGCATATTTAATTGACGGAGCCCAGAACGACTGGGGACGCTTTCACTGAAGCTTGTTTTGCTGCTTGTATTGCAGCAAAACAAGCTTCAGTGAAAGCGTCCCCAGTCGTTCTGGGCTCCGTCAATTAAATATGCCGTACCGCTTGTCTGTCTGGCTTCAGTGTTGCTGTAGGCGACAAAGCATGTGCCAAGTTTTGTCACAAGAGGCATATTATGTCACGCACATGTAATTTTGATTTTATCCGGCTTAGTGTGCTGTAGGTGGCTGGTCAAAGAAATTGGTACTTGGACGCAACTAATCGCAAATCTTTCTGGCAGTTTCCAAGGCCTAAGAGCCAGCAGGTCCCAGTTTGCTTTTCCTCAGAGGTGAGAATCCCAGATTCCCGAAGCACGAATACTGAAGCCAGACGACCGGTACAGCATTTTTAATTGACGAAGCTCAGAACGACTGGGGGCTCCTTCATTGAAGCTTATTTTTCTGTAATACACGCGAGCGCAATTGACGTATGCCTAGTTACGTCGCAAGAGGTTATCTATGTCCCGTGCATGTAATTTTTTTAATCTTTCCGACTTAGTGTACTTGAAGGTGACAGCGCAGGAAAAATCGAACTCACACCAGACACTCAGGAAGACAAGCACACGTGCTGAACTTACAACTCTTGTGTATTCGACTGCTTCATTTTTCTCTTCAGCGTCTGGGTTGACTTTTCAGAACGTGATAAGTAGAAGAAGTAGCACGAAATACAAAGGAAAATTCTAAAGAGAAGGCAAAAGAACAGTAAAAGAGAAGACAAATAAAGAAACGGAAAAAATATCAATACGAAACACATTTACAAATTGTCCCTCTCCCTCATCGCTATCATTTAGATAGAAATTGCAGCTCTTTGGTCGACAGCGCTATAGAAGGACTACTTACAGACTTGTCCTTCAGCTGTGCTATCCTTTCCGCTTCCATTATTTCTCTAGTCAATGCGTCTCTACTCCTACCTATTACAGAACAATTTTCAAAATGTGCTATACAGCCACAATCGCGACAATGGATTCCCAAGTGTCCAGCTACGACTCGGTGGGTGTTATAAAAATGCTCTCTTAAACAATCAGTCAAACACGTTCCAGTCTGGCCTACATACTCTCTAACACATGAGAGTGGGACAAAATATACAACTCCTTCAGTACAATTTACAAAGCTCTTTTGGTGCTTTTTCGAACTACCAACTTCCCGGTGTGCCGATCCGTTTACCTTCCGGCACAGGCTTAGAAGCTTATTTGGTGCTGAAAAAGCAACATTAATGTTAATGCAGTTACCTATCTTTTTTGGACCGTGCGAAACTTTATGTATATATGGAACAACGGCCGTCCTTTTCTTTTCTGTATTGCGTTTAGGTCGTTCACCCCATCTTATTCTCTTGAATAAATCCCCTGTCACGGCTGTAAGTAATGCACTAGGATATCCTGTTGACTTTAACCTGGCGATTTGAGCATCAAAGCTAACCTTAATTGAATGAATACATGACTTATTGCTTTTCAGACCGCGTCAGGATTTTTGCAAGGTGGTTTCCTTGAACTGCTCACCGTATATTTTAAATCTATGTTTGCATGTTGGGAGGGTAACACCTTTCTCCATAAAGCAGGGGTATGCATTGGTTCATGCATAGTACCAGTTTTGAGTAACCTTTACCTCGCGCATCGGGGCCGGATCCTTTCACGTAGCTTAGGTGCTTCTTCTGTTGTGAAGGTGTTTCGCTTTGTAGATGATTTTTTGATTGTGCTAGATTGTGCAGCTAAGGACTTTCAAATATTAGTCTCTAATGTTCTTTCCTGTTGTAAATCCTGTATAGATCCACCAGAAATCACTCATGAGCTCTCCACAGAAGGTTCCTTACGGTTCTTGGACCTCAGATTAATTTTTTCGGAGCATCATGTATGTTGGTCATACAAACCGAGAGGGAAGAAACCTCTTAATTTTCAGCCAGCACACTCCAAGCTTGTTAAGCAAGGCATTGTTAAATTATGTCTCACCAGTGTGCTTAATAAGTCTTGTATTCATTCACTTAAGGTTAGCTTTGATGCTCAAATCGCCAGGTTAAAGTCAACAGGATATCCTAGTGCATTACTTACAGCCGTTGCAGAGGATTTATTAAAGATAATAAGATGGGGTGAACGACCTAAGCGCAATACAGAAAAGAAAAGGATGGCCATTGTTCCATATATACATAAAGTTTCGCACGGTCTAAAAAAGATAGGTAACTGCATTAACATTAATGTTGCTTTTTCAGCACCAAATAAGCTTCTAAGCCTGTGCAGGAAGGTAAATGACGGCACACCGGGAAGTTGGTTGTTTGAAAAAGCACCAAAAGAGCTTTGTAAATTGTACTGAAGGAGTCGTATATTCTGTCCCACTCTCATGTGGTAGAGAGTATGTACGCTAGACTGGAAGGTGTTTGAATGATCGTTTAAGTAAGCATTTTTATAACACCCACCAAGTCGTAGCTGGACACTTGGGAATCCATTGTCGCGATTGTGGCTGTATAGCACATTTTGAAAATTGTTCTGTAATAGGTAGGAGTAGAGACGCATTGGCTAGAGAAATAATGGAAGCGGAAAGGATAGCACAGCTGAAGGACAAGTCTGTAAGTAGTCCTTCTATAGCGCTGTCGACCAAAGAGCTCCAATTTCTATCTAAATGATAGCGATGAGGGAGAGGGACAATTTGGAAAAGTGTTTCGTTTAGATATTTTTTCCGTTTCTTCATTTGTCTTCTCTTTTACTGTTCTTTTGCCTTCTCTTTAGAATTTTCCTTTGTATTTCGTGCTACTTCTTCTACTTATCACGTTCTGAAAAGTCAACCCAGACGTTGGAAGAGAAAAATGAAGCAGTCGAATACACAAGAGTTGTAAGTTCAGCGCGTGTGCTTGTCTTCCTGAGTGTCTGGTGTGAGATTAATTTTGCTGCGCTGTCACCGCCAAGTATGGTTCACCAACTCGCCCAAGCTTCCATCCTATCGACTTAGTGTACTTTACGGGGCTACTCAATGTAATTGCTACTTGAACGCAACTAATCGCAAATCTCTCTCCCAGTTTGTCCCAGTTTCCACGGCCTACAAGCAAGCAAGCACCAGTTCGTTTTTCCTCAAAGGTGAGCATTCCAGATACTTTAATTAGGTGCACGGTGTAAGATAATACTCCTCAGGTGAGGACAGCGCGCTCTTGGCCACAACCCGATGAAGTTCGCTCTTCACACTCTCTCTCTTTGGTTTCAAGCAACGTTAGCAGGTGACTCGTCGACCCGTGGGCACGTTCAAGACGGCTCGTGCCGCCTAATGTACCACACGCGCAGAGCTCCAGCGAGGTTCTCACACAAGCAGAAAGACCATGGTGTACCCGGGTGTCATGACAACGAGACAATGTTTTTCTGCTGTCACACAGTTCCGCCGTTTGGCCGCCGGTGACACTGTCAGTCGCGGGCACGGTGGCAGCCGAATGATGCAGTCTTTCGGATGCCCGTCGAACGAACACTATTTGATTCCTCGCGCCGCGCGTTCAGCCCCGGCGTGTCCTCACCTAAAGAGTGTATCTTTCACCGTGGTTAGGTGCAAAGCAGGAACTGTAAAGCCAGACGAGCCGATAGGTTTATTTAATTGACGGAGCTCAGAATGATCCGTGGCAGTGGAATGGAAGCTTATTTTTCCACAATCAAACGCAGACATAATTTTGAATCTATCCGGCTTAGTGAAGGATTGCTACTTGTTGCGAACTAATCACAAATTTTTATTTTGCAGTTTCTACATGGCTACAGCTAGCAGGTGCTGCTTTCATTAAAAGGTGAGGATTTCACATTCTGTTTCCAAACAGCAAGTTTTTGAATGAGGGTCCTAAACAATTAACTTTCTTTTGCAGTAAATGCCAGATCCTCCAGTTCAGGAATATGTTAAATATATTTGGTATGGATAAGCCCAGTGTTTTGCTTCTTTATTCATAATTTGACAACAACACTTTTTATTTGATCACTCAGAAATACACACAAGAAGAGACTGCGTTGCAAAGAAATGTCGTGCTGAACGTGATATTCCAACTCTCATATAGTTTTATCGGTAGCCGATATAATATATTGGATTCCAATATCCATAATACGCTGAGTATATTGGAATCGTAAACCCTTATTGGATCCCCATACGACATATGGGGATCCAATAAGGGTTTATACGGTATTGGATTCCAATATTTTCAGCGTATTATGGATATTGGAATCCCATAACAAATCCTTATTGTAATACAATACAATAAATGTAATGTTTTCCAATACACTGTCTATATTGTATTGCAATACAATAAGAAGATATTGTTTACCAATATCCATAATACGCTGTTTATATTGGGGTTTTCCAATAGGGATGTAGAGCAAGAGAAGGAAGAATAAAGAGCTGAAGAAATATTTGCGCAAAGAAGATTCCAGGAATAAAGTGAAGGGCGATTTCAGAGTAAAGCAGTGATTTGAGAAATTGCTTTAATTGGAAGCAGCCGAGAATAATTATACGGAAGATGGAACATTGATTCTAGCTCAGTTGAAGAGATGGAGCTGTCGATTTCTATGGGCACTTACCGACTACCGGTCTCTTTTATGCAGTCAGTGCCAGTGGTGCAACATGAAACTAGGATTGACCGGCGCAACTGGCTTTTCCGCCAAAGCTTTTTTGCTTCTTTTCGAAGCAGTTATTTCTTTGTTAAAACTTATAACACTGGTCCATTGTTATATAGCGAAGATGTCTCGCCCTAGTTTTTTTTTTATATGATGAAAACAAAATTATACAAACGGCTATCACTTTTTAAAGCAAGAGAAGAAAAACACTTGGTTTTCAAAGACACACACAGATTTAGTTTACTGCGTTAAATGATTGCCTTAGTTTTAGCCTCTACTATATTAAATTGAGAAGAGTGCCTCAGTGCCTAATCATTTTTGTTTCGATGCAAAAAATTCTATATCTATTCCTCTGCGTTCTTTTCGTTTTCCAGCAACTTCACGAATGGCTATCTTAATCTTTCTGAAATGGTTGTCCAGCTAAACAAGATACTCCTACAACCGTTTACAGTGATTCTCCGTTGGATCTGAGCATATTGTCACATAAGACAAGAGATAAAACACTGCAAACGAGAAATCTAAAACTAGCATTAGATGAAGTCTCATCAAAGATAAAAGCGGTGCACCGTGGGTATCGATGTCAGCGCGAGCAGCAAGATAGTGTAAGGCAGACTCGATGTAGGTGTTTACAGCTATCTTTATACAAGATCTAGGTTTAGAAAGAGCTAAAGGCGCATTTATAGTCCGTCGTAGCGCGGGCGCGTGCGGCATGGCGACATTAGGTCAGCAATGAATGGGTATTTTAAAGTTCACAAAAGGAAAGCAAAACTGAATACGCGGAGACTGCAATTTGTGTACTTTCTTGTAAAATTATAAAGTTTTTAATGTGTTCTTTTTTTTTTTTTCAAGGCATACAACTGTTCGTTCTACCCGAACACCGAACAACCCTGAAACAATTTTGTAAGCAATTTGACCCTAAGCATTATTAAAGTGTATAATTTGCAGCAGTATCTTAAACACATATACAAACATTTTATAAAGAAGCGCGAGCCCAATCCTGTAACGGGTTTTGGGTCTCCTTTTGAAACTACCGGAAGAAAGTACATCGCCTCAATGGTTCATTGCATGCAACGTGGTGTCGAGTACTTTTTATAAAGTATAATTATACTGGAGCAAAAACCTTCCGAAAAACTACTTGAAGGCAGAAAAAAAAGTAACGAATCAAACTGTATGTTTGTCTCATTAAACAATAGACGGCTAAGGGCTTTTTCTTTAGCTCGTTCATCAGTTTCTAATGAAATATACAACGTCTAACATTTTATAACCTGTACTTAAAGCAGGGCTCGTGGTAGTTTTAGTTAGAGCTGACGTTGCAATATTTAGTAAAAGTTTGCTTGTTTCAGTATTTTGATGATTCCGTGTGGCACACTGCATCAACAATTTACGAAGCTGTAGGCAGGCATCAACTTGGAAAGGGCATTGATGTTGCAGTTAAAACTTTGTGTTAGATCTTAGAGCCAGGAAGGCACATTTAAACAAGTCGTATTTAATATTGACTAAATGAAACTAGCACTACAGTAATAGCTTCAAATAAAGTCTATGTAAATTGGAACATTAAGAAAATGTAAAAATGAGAATATTGGAATACGAACATAAATTCGTAGCTTTGTGGTATAATAAAAAAAAAAAGAAACACTTTTTAGAGCGCAGCTTTTAGGCGGCCGTTCTAGGGTTGAGCGGCGTTGGCATCGGCGTAACCACCCTTTGCTTTATGGGACGTTTCCCCGCTAAATATAGTGGGAAAATGTTCCCGCTAAACTTAGTGGGACAATATTTTTGCGAAATTTAGCGGGGAACTTTCCCTGTTACATTTAGCGGAAAACTTTTCACCCTAAATTTAACGGGAAGGTTTCCCGCTAACTTTAGCGTGCTAGGTTTCCCAGCTAAATTTAGCGAGGAAATGGACGTCACGTGACCGCAATACCAATTCAGTTTCCCCGCTAAATTTCGCGGGGGAAATGACGCCACGACATCGTGTCACGTCAATTATAAAAAAAATAGCGGCAGGAGGAGAGGAGGTGGAAAGGTGGAGGAGGAGGAGGGGAGGAGGATGAGGAGGAGCGGAGGAGGGGAGGGTACAGAGGAGGAGGACGGCATACCCTCCCCTCCGTACCTTTACCGCCTTCTCCTCAAGAGCCGCGCTCTAGTTTGGCATTACAGATAATAGTAAACGTCTTTCATTCTTTGCTTGAAGTAACAGAGAAGGTGCAGGCGAGTTGGTGAACTTTCTTCATCTTGAACGCCGGACACTAGGACCAAAAAAAGTGGACAACACACACACCCAGGCAATGTCTGTAATACATTAATTTCCAACGTCTTTTTTTTTACTGACAAGCAAGGGAAAACAAGAAAAAAAAAAGATCGCTACAATGTTCAGGCAGCGCAAACAACATATTCATGTAGGTTTAGAAAGAGTTATATACGTAAAAACAGGGGACGGGACAACACATCTTTCAACTTTCATATGCCCTGAAGTATATATACTACCTGATTCTGAGAAGTTGCCATAATCAATGCATAATGACTGATCAGGTGTGTTTATAACATGTGAACCCTGTGGGTTTGAACTTGTAGTCGGTTTATTTTGAATATTGACTAATTTGGGCCTCTCCAAGCTGGAAAAAGCCGCAAATCAATGTTTTTCTTCTGTCCAATTTTCCCGCAATTCGAAAAAAAAAGAAAAAAAAACTTTTACGAATTTTACATAACATTTATTTCTATTTATTGTTTTCACATCATCGTCGGCTTCTTTGTATTGAACGTTCAGTGTACATTTATACTTTGTATTAAGTTCGGCGTCTATGCCAGTAAGATTGGCGCCGCACTTAAGGATGTTCTGGCCTGCAACCTAGGTATCAACTGCACAAACATTTAATTCTTCGCTAATTGACGAATTTCGGACGCCCCAGTAGGGATTCGAAACCAACTAAAACTAAGATGACTGCGGCGGCCAAGTGGTTATCATCATTTAGTTACAACCAGCGCATCAAGCTTTAGATCTCACGTCAGTCTACACTCTAAGAACCTGGCACGTTGACCTTCCTGAAAATAACTCGGGGAAACCAATCAGTTCAATCCACAGAGGGAGCATGGCGCAACACGAAGCTGTAAATTTCTTGATATCAAAGAGAGGCAGTCTGCCCTAGAAAACTGAACGTTGCGTTGGACGTGCTTATGTTACGATCAGAGCTATCTCACAGACTGCATTTCGTTGAAGTCCTAAACATATACTTTCAGCTTCGCGATTCGCCAGTCTGTAGACTGCAGAAATGGGTTCTCCCGAGCGGTTTTCAGAAAAGTAAACGCATCACATTAGGGTGCTTTAAGCATTCAGTTAAGTACCATCTTTTTGACTCGCTATACACTTGGAAAAAGCGACCATTAATGCATTAATACAATTCGTTCGCCGTTCCTGGTAACTCTTCTCTCTGTCCCGAACCCTATGACAACTAAGGTTCTTCTTCCGTACCTTTACATTTACAACAACAACAAAAAAGTGTGTCATACGTTCATAGTTTACAGTTCTCTCGAACCATCACACTTTATAAACAGCGCTGTCCCGTTTCATCACACCAAATTTGTCCGCAGAAACCGCAGCACAGTTGTCCCCAAGTAACAATTTCGTAACCTGAGGCAGAGCTTGAAAAATCCTACTTTACAAAGAACACTTCTGTCCTAATGCGTTCCTTCAGGCGAAAATCGACGTGAGGTGTCTATTAACTACAAATATGACTCGGCGACTGGATGAACCTACAGCATCCTCAGCACGGACAAAAAAAAAAAAAAAAAACCGTATAACTAAATAAAATGCAAACGAAAAGCTTTAGGAGGATATGACGTTGCTCTTGAGTCTTTCCAAAGTGTGAAAATAAAACCAACAGCATCAAAAAGAAAGTAATTCTGCTCCGAACACGATCTAAGAAAAGAATCAAATATACGATAATACGAAGAAAGACCAAGACGGGAGGCACTTCGGATGGACACTGGCGCTAAAACTAAGTAAACCTGAACGCTGTCTTCTCTGTGAACACTTTTTGCGAGAGCTATTTTATTTTTGAAAAATATCCTTTGAAATTCCACCTAGGCAGAGTGCGCTGGACAAGAGCTATGTGAAACGATCCATATACAATATCCGCACACAAGAAAGAAAGAAACAAAGCTGGATCGATGGACTTAGACTTCGTCTCGCAATAAATGCCGGAACTGCAACATGAACGGCATGGAGTGTTCGAGAAACATACTTTGATCAATCATTGATCATCGCAGCTTTTAAAACTATTTCACCATCGGATGAAACAACACTTAAGTTAGTTGT